GGGGGGGGGGGCGGTGTCGCGTGCTAGGCTTCCTCAACTGGGAAGTGACGGGGAGCGTAGCAGCACCTGAGGGCTGTAGGCCTGAGTCAGGGAGGGGGAATTTGTGAAAAATAATAAGCTGCTAGACGCTCATACTGGGCATCTTGACCTAAGGATTGTGTTTTTTGTTTCTCATCGGTTTCGAAACGATTAATTTATATTGGCCTATCCAATTCGGGCCAACTATTAATATAAACGTTACAAAATTTTTTTTTTATCGCACAACAAATCTACTAACTTCCCTAATGTGGGGGATTTGTAGCCCCTCCTAGGTAGCACCACCACTGTTTTCAGGTCTGAAGTATTGGTGCTTGTTTTGACACAACATTGACATGAACAGCCACATTCAATCAGCTTCCAAATCAATATCCCATCAACTTAGGAACATCAAAAGCATACACCACTGAAGATGCAACACACAAAGTTGTCAATGCTCTCGTCACCACTAAGCTGGACTGTTACTATATTGGACAGCACATCACACCAAAAAAATAAATGCCTCCCTTAAATAACAACTCTCAAAAACCCTTCTCAACTACAAGAATTTGAATAAATATGGTATTTAAAAGATTCATCATGTCTTTAGTAAAGTTGTGATATATTTTATTGTCATAATAGGTTAGTCAATGGTATGATTTAGTTGTATTTACAGCAAGCATGGAAATTTATGGTTCAGCTGTAGCAGACAAATTGGACAAAGGCAGGGGTGTATTCAAGAGAAGGTACTACCGCCAGGTATGTCAAGTAATTGTGTATTATCTGGATAAGCCAATATACAGTATGCCAATGTCCCGATATTAGAACTTGCCTATCAAAAATAATTAAATATTTCATCTGTCCTTAAAACCTCTCTAGTCAACATTCATTCCCTTTCACTATCTGAAGAACTACAAAATTGAAGTGCTTTAAGAGCTAATAATTTTGCTGTCTATAAATTTCAAAAACTTATATTTTATGATATTTAATATAGAATGATAATGAAGTTGACTTTTTAGCAAGTTTCATTTTTACAGTGAAATATCTTAAGGCTGGTTCTCACGAGAGCCCTAGTATCCGGATCGGGAGCTAACCGTTAGCACCTGCATGAGAACGCCCGATCGCAGCTGGATACCGTTAACGGTTAGCAAGCGATATCGGTTAGCAAGTTGAGCGCGTTTTTATCATCAACCAATTACACGTACGCGTTTACAATTTCCAGTTTCTTATTGGCCAGTGATTCGGTCATCATATTTTTGGTATCAGGATCGGGATTTTCTCGTATGGACGCACCGCAGCTAACGGTTAACAGGATTCGGATCCTGCTAACCATTAGCAGCCGTGTGAGAACATAGCCTAAGTTGCATTCCAACAGCTATATAGACAGTAGCATACTTAAATTTGACTACTAATGCAAAATAGGTAGAAGGCATGTTGACAAAAAAACCCATAAAAATGTTGGTTGGGTGTAGGGGCAGACCGTAGCATTTACTTGAAATTGGGTTTTTTGCTTATTCTGTAAATGAAAGACAAACAGCACTTTTCAGACTAACAAACTTATTTTTCCACAAGCTTTCGACCATGCAGTGGTCTTCATCAGGTGCTTATTCTGAAAATTTTGATTGAGTCACAAATTCGGAGCTTCATTCAATTCATCTGTAGCTTACTTAAAATTAGCTATCTTCCAAATAATGTAAATTAGACTATGTAAATGAAAAAGAAACAAAATACTTTTTACAACCAGCGTAAGGATGGGCGATGGTGCCCTGGGGAAAGAAAATGTTGATTTCCCCCCCCCCCCAACAGCACTGGGGGTGGGGGGCCATAATTACTGATAAAAACGTTAAGGCTGAAAAGACACTACAGTAGGAAAATTCAGAAACGAACACAAATTTACTCTCTCTACAAATGTAGGCCTATGACTTTTTTGATTACTTTTTCTTCTGGTCACATAGTAGGCTCGAAAATACTATAAAAGACTGTTAAGTAACCAAAGTGATTGATTTTTTTGATAACATGTCACCTGAGGACTGAAGCTTTCCTAAGACTTACAGTAGAACTCAGTGTCACTCCAGGGTCCCTTTGGCTGTGGGGGGGGGGGCAGGGTTTTAACCCCTGAGAGTCCCAGTTGAAAATATAATCCTGTAAAAATGCTTGTAATTTTGCTTTTTTGCAATAAGCCCATGTTTATCACTCTGTATGTTGTGTATAATTGTACATAAAAATACACTGAATTCAAATTTGTATCACTTTAAATAATCAAAAAGTTGCATTCTCTATTATAGAAATAAAAAGGTAAAGTTGAGTTTTACATTTGGTTGTTCCTTTAATATGTACTACTGATATGTTTTTTAAATGTAAATTATAAGCCTGTGTTTTTTAATTAATCTTAATGGCCTGTATTTACATAGACAGGCTTTCTTCACTACAGAACTATGATGCATTTTGCCAGAAAGTAATGTCCAAAATCTGCTATAATAACTAGTTGCAAATGGGAAATAGGGGAAAATGAATCTTAGGACTACTGTTGTCATAAAGCATGTCACTCCAATATAATAGTGACATACAGAAATTGTACTAAATCAGCCAAATATATTGAATGTGATTCATTATGTACAACATTTCTATAAAGTTAATTATGAAATTATTATATTACTTTTCCTAAAATTGTAGTGATTTGGTTTTACAGTTGTAGGTGACTTAGATCATAAAGTGCTAAGTATTGATTGATTAATTTGATTTGTTTTGATTGACAGCATTGCACGTTAGATTGTGGAAGTTATACTAAAGACTTGTCTGCAGTCAGCGATGACCTTTCAAAGGTATTTATAGTAGACAATTCACCAGGAGCTTACAAATTATTTCCAGGTAAGTTTGTTGGATTAGAAAATCAATACAGTGTATGTAAATATTTCATATTTAATTGGAAGCAAGAATTCTTACTCTAAACAAATGCAATGAGCAGTGCTGTCACTGAATTGCACATACTGGTACACAACTTTGGGATAAATAATGATAATTCAAAGCTAAACATAGTGCTGATTAAATAACAGTAGGAACAGGAAGCAGCGGTTAAAATTAACAGTAAAAGTATACTAAAAAAAATTAAAATAAGTAAATGTAGGCATATATATATGTATATATATATATATATATATATATATATATATATATATATATA